CCACCCCCTTGGGCCTCCCCTCCTCTGCTCCAGCTCCTCTGGCATATCCCCGGGTCCCTCTCATGCCAGAAACTAAGGAGTTAACACCTGGCACATAGGGTCACCTCCAAAACTCTGCTCCAGCCCTGGGCTCTTCACCTCTTCTGCTGGTAAGCATTCTGAGCTTTGCCATTCCCTTCTTACCTCGGCCATGCCAGGTCTGTTTTCTTACTCCAAGGCCACCCCAGACTTCTCTAAAAATCCTCAAAGGACAGTGGACGCGAGCCCCTCTGCCCTTGGAGTTCCTCTCGACTGGTCCCACACACCTGCCCCCTTCTGGGCTCAGTCCCAGGGAGAGCATGGGCCAGCTCTGAGGGTCTCTCAACTCCCTTCCTCCCCAACTCCAGTCTACAACAGAGGCTAGAACAGCTCCATACTTTCTTTCCCAGCCTCCCTCCCATCAGGAGTAGCCATGTGCCGCAGTCTGGCCCATGAAAAGTAAGTGGAAGTCTGCTGAGGGGGTCTCCAGGGCAAGTTTTTGCTTTCCCGAGAAAGGTGAGAAGCTCCCTACTTCTTGCTTTAAACAATTATGTGAGCCCTGAAGTTACGGGACCCAAGAGGACTGCAGACACGCTTGCCCTGACGTGGTTGCTACTACCTCCAGACTTCTTATTTTGGGAAGTAAGTTCCTACAAATCGGGTTTTCTAATTTTTTTAGCCAAGCACAGTCCTGATACAGGGCAATTAGAATGCTTCTCTGTGCACCTACCTCTCCAACACTGATTTCTCCCTGACTTGCTATTCCCGCAGTTCCTCGGGCCTAGAAGAGGCAGAGTTTTCCTCTCTTACTCCTCCCTGTTTATATGAAAACTTCCTTTTCATAAAATCCTTATTTTTCACCCATGCAGACTGTTGAAATGTTGAAGTAGGAGATAAAAGAACATAGAAAAATTCTTTCACTCTCACTGGTATTTGCCTGTAGAGCCCAATGCACCATCTTATTCTGAATACCAGAATATGTTTTAACTCTATTAGTATTAACTCATTATTAATTCTCATGATTATTGCAGTTAACTCCTATTATTAACTCTACCGTCTATAAAGTCCTAATCTCCTGATACTATAATTACCCTTATTTTATGGATGAGGAGACTAGGGAGGTTGACAAAAACTGAGCAGTTTTTCTGGAGTTGGACGCAGCAAAAGTGATACAGGCAGGACCGGAACCATTTACAATGGTCATTAATGCCCACTCTCTTCGGGTACTTCACTCCCTCCACCACCCACCCCTCCATCTCCCACATACCATCGACCTCCCCACCCTCCCCTCCCCAGCTCTGGGAGAGGTGGGAGTAGAGGGGCATTGAGCAAACAGCAAAAGGAGACAAGGGGCAGCATGTATTTTATTGGAGCGCAAGTGTGCCAGCCCCAGACCCAACTACACGTTCTCTGGCTTATGGGACACCGGAGGCTTGAGTCCATAGGGGAGGCAGCACAGGGAGGCATCTGGGCACAGGTGCATGTAGGTTTCTTGCCTTGTGCAGTAAGTCCGGCAGGCTCCTTGGCCCTTCCAGCACCGTTTGAACTCACTTCTCCCTATGCAGAATATCAGAGGAAGACTACAGGTCACAGAACAGCCCAGGGACCACAGACTAGCCTGCTGTTCACAGATTTAACCACAGATCACAGGTCAGACCGCTGACCACACAGAGCAGCCCGTGGGTTCCAGTTGAGGCCGCAGGTCACAGGTTTATCCGCTGATCCATCTATAGGGTTTCTCTACTACTTTTTATTTAGGTTTGAAATTTTCCCAAGTAAAAAGATTTCTTTTTAAAACTCACATCATTACATTATTCTCTGTTTTTGCATGCTTAAATTTTTCCATAATAAAAAGCTTTTTAAAAGCTCACCTTGCTCCTTATTCTCTCTATTTTCATGTACATTTGAAATTAAAACTTTTTTAAAAAATGACCAGAAGCCTTTCAGCTCTTCCACCACCCCACGCACACACCACAGTAGCCCCTTCCCCCGATAGTCTTCTTAGCACTGATAACCACCTGAACGACTCTATGTTTGGGTTATTTTCTGTCTCCAGTAACTAAAATATCAACTCCAAGAAAGCAGAGACCTTGTTTTCTTCCACTGCTGGATCCCCAGCGATTGTAAGAGTGCCTGGCACACGGTATATATTTTTCAAATGAACATTTGTGGAGTGAACCCTATTGTAAAGGTCAGGAAACTGAGGTGCAGGCCAATCTAGCAGCTCGCTCTAACCTGCCCAGAAAGCCAGTGACGGGGCCAGAATTTAAGCATGGGTCTAGCCCTCCTCTGCCCCCCAGGAGCTGAGAACCTGTTTCTCATTCACACACACGCTCACACACACACGTGATGTTACCTGGCGGCACATGACCCAGGACCAGGAGAGACACAATGAGTAGAAGCAGCTGTGTCATGGTCACAGGGCTCCTGAGAGGCCGCTGGGGAGAGGACACAAAAAGAGAGGAACCAAACACATCAAGCCCTGCTGCTTGCAGCCCAGCCTTTATAGAGCTGCAGATCAAGGCAAGAGTGTGGGCAGCCAGGGACTTAAGTGGGAGTCTGAGGCCTTGTGGTCCCAAGGGTGTAGCTGGATCTCAGCCAGCTATGTGGGGAATGGGTTGCACACACCATCCAGACTCGCTGAGCTCTGAAACCGAGGGCAGAATTTCCTGAAGCAATGCCTGGCATCGGAAACTGGACGGCTTCCCCACCTGAGAGGGTGGGGAAAGTCCTGGCTTCACAGAGACCTGCTTCAATGCCAGCATCTCCCCAATACCTTGTGATACCTTGGATAAGTCACTTAGCTTCTCTGAGGCCCAAGCTGTCGTCTGGAAAATAATGACAAGCCCCCCTTGCAAAGCTAAATACATGGAGGATTCCCTTCCTGATGCCAAGGAGATGAAACCAGAACCCACTGACCTGCTCAAACAGCATGCATTTAGGTCTAAGCAGAAAATGAGTAAGAATACCCACCCCCCAACCAGACAGTAATGGCAACTTAGCTCATTTAGAACATGAAACAAAATATTACAAAGTGTAGTACCCAGACCAGCAAGCAGAAGTAAAACCTCAGGCTTGTTAAAAACAGAAACTCTCAAGCTCTACCCAAACCTACTGAATCAAAAGCTCGGGAGTGGGTCCCAGCAAGCTGTGGTGTAAGAAGCCCTCCAACTGATTTGATTGTTCTGCTGAAGTTTGAGAACCACAGAGAGCATATGTACACAGTGTCTGGTGCACAGGCCTCTGAGTTGCATCTTGAAAAATGAGTAGAGGAAAGGGCATTCCCAGCAGAAGAAACAGAATGTGCCTGCCGACCAGAGCAGGGACTTTGCTGGGAGAAGATAGGAAATGACCCTGCAGAAGCCAGTTTCTTTTTAAAACTCACATCATTACATTATTCTGTATTTTTGCTTGTTTACATTTCTCCGTAATAATTTTTAAATGGCTCACCCTGTTCCTTATGTCATTCTCTCATTTTCATGTCTATTGAAAATAAAACCTTTTGTAAAAAATCTTATCAGAAACCTCCTACCATGCCATACGCACACATCACACTCGCCCCTGGCCCTGCTTTTATTCACAGTGGGCCTTGTATATCAAGTTCAGGCTTTTGTCAATTGCAGACAACTGTAAGTTTCGTAGCAAGGGTGGAACCTGTTTCAATTTCAGTTTTCAATGAAAAACCTGTAACCCAAAGAGCAGAGGTGACTTGCCTAAAGTCATATAGCAATTGCGTTGCAGAACTCACCCCCAAACAATGCCTGGCACTGCACCACTCACAGCCTGCCTTGTAGGTGCTGAAGGGAAGTTCAGAAGGAAGCCAAGCACGACCGGGTTCAGCCAGCCCACCAGGCTGCTGTGGGAGTCGTCCTGAGCTGGACACCGGGACCCCCTCAGCCTTGGCAATGAGCCCCACCCACGGGTACAGCCTGGTCTCCGTGGGCCCCACATGCATACCTGCTCCAGCCCTTGTGAACTAAAAGGAAACAGCCTCCTCAAGAACCCAGATCCTGGCTCCATGGATGGCCAAACTCAGCAGTTCCCTAAACCAGCTTCTCTTCTACAACCATGATTACAGTGCCTCTTTCATTCTCCTACATGCCTAGGAAGATAAAAGATTTAAAAACAAGAACAAGAACAGCAACAAAGGGATGTGATAGGGACAGCGGTAGGCTGAGGGGCAGAGGCCCTGGGTCCCAGGCCCAGGTATGCCTCAGTTTGTTCGTCTTTAGTGTTGTGCCGGATAAATGAGCTACCAATCCAGGCCAAGCACTCAGACCATACCCGGCACTGCACAAGTGTTCAGTAAATAAGAACCAAGGAGCAGCCGGCCTTTCCTCCAGGCAGAGGACAGCTCCAGCGCGGAAACGCTAGAATTAACCTAGAATTTGGTGAACGACTGAGTGATGCTAAAATGAGACATTCAGAGCACTTCAGCGTGGACTTGCAGGATTCCCCTCCTCCCCTCAAGCCACCTCCCAATGTTAATTCTCTATCCATTCAAAGCAGGGTTTCGCTCAGTGGAGCCCACGAAGTCTGCATCGGGATCGCTCGGGCACTTGCTGAAAACGCAGATCCCCGGACCCCTCCCTCTCCCAGGACTGCTGCGTCCGCCTCTCTCGGAGGGTGGGACCTGGGAGGCTGAACGTTCAACAAGCTCCCCAAGTGGTTTTTGTAAGGACCTAGTTTGTTGGTGTGCCCCGTTGCTGGAGTGGAGTGGACAGATGTGAGTGCTCAGGCGGCCCAGAGCCAGGAGTTCTGAGTCCCCTTTCTTCGTTCCTCTGGCCCCCCACCCCAACATTGCCACCCCCACCTTAGACAAAGGACGGGAGAAGGCAGGTCAGCTGACCCCTGCGCGAAGTCTTTCAGCAGCCAAGGCCTTGGGGCGGGGACCCCGGGGCTGCCCTGTTGGGGCGGGGCTGGACGGGGCGGGGTCGCGGCTCCTCCCCGGCTGGGGCGGCGGGGCGGGACCGGCCAGAGGGGGTGCGCACCGAGGCGGTGGTACAGCCTGGAGCACCCGGCAGCTGCGGGCCGGGGACCCTGGACCCCTCTCCACGGCGAGGTAAAGGCCCGCGCAGCCCGCCTCCAACTTAGTGAAGTTGGAGCGGAGTTTGCCAGGCGCCTGCATGGTGGAGGGAGGGGGTCTGCGACGTAGGCAGGGGTGAGGAGGTCCCCGAGCTCGCATCCCAGGGATAGGATCCTTCCACCTGGGTCTCCGGAGGGTAGCGTAGCTCCGGACAGGGGACCCGCCCCGATCAGGGGACTCACAACCAAGACCCCGGGCTGGGCAAGTTCGGACTCTGACTCTGGGAATGGCACATGCGCTCCCAGTCCTTGTAGGTGCCCTCCCCGCCCCCTGCCAGGACCCTGTCCTGTCACCAAACCTGGCCCGGCTGCGTTGAAGCCCCCGCCCCCCAACAGCCGCCAGAGGCAGTGCCAGCCGCTGCTGAATTTTTCACGTAGGGGGCGGGCCGGACACGCCGTTCCCATGGCACCACGGTGCTCGGGTTACCGCGGAGGGAACCCCCAGACCCCTACGCCCTTGGGGTTGGAATCCCCCCATTCCTGCCTTTTCCTCGGCCCTCTTGAGATGGGGCAGCGGAAGTGACCCGCACAGGAACCCTTAACCCTCCTCCATAGCCCCCAACCCGTCAACCGTGGTGAAGAGACCCAAGGGGAAAGGGAGTACGGGCAATTCAGATGCTTTTCGGGATGTGGGTTTGAGTTGTGAATGGGAGGGGCAGGTCTGTGTACACAATTGTGTGTGTGCTTATGTGACATCCCACCTCGCTGCTGCCCCTCTGTCTGTCCGTGTGTCTTGAGGGAGTGAGTCATCCTCAAGGCACAGGAACCAGACTCTGGTGTGCGGGCAGCGTGTGTTCACAGCTTACCCACCCACCCTCCCAGACTGACCCGGGCAGACCCTGGGCCCGAAGCCAGGGAGCCCCCACCCCAGGAGCTGAGGCACCTCCTCCTCCCTGTTGAACAAGAGGATCTCTTGAGGAAGCTATCTCAGCAGCTCATCAGGACCCTACAGAAGAAAGGGCTCAAAGCACCTGGCTCACCTCCCATTCCCCCTTCTTGCTCACAGAAAGAAGGAAGGAAGGAAGGAGCCAAGTCCCCCCCACCCAAGGATGACTCTAAACACCCAGCAAGAAGCAAAGACCCCCCTGCGTCGGCGAGCTAGCACTCCACTGCCCCTGTCCCCCCGGGGCCACCAGCCTGGCCTGAGCACAGTTCCTTCCACTTCCACGCAAGCCCAGCATCCACGGCTGGGCCAATCTTCCTCCCTCAACCCTCCCACCCAGCAATCTTCACCTGCTCCGAACGGTTGGTCCTCTGACTCCAGCGACTCTGAAGGCTCCTGGGAGGCCCTCTACCGCGTGGTACTGCTTGGGGATCCTGGTGTAGGGAAGACCAGCCTAGCCAGCCTCTTTGCAGGGAAGCAAGAACGAGAGCTCCACGAACAGCTGGGAGGTAGGGACCCTGTGGGCTGGGCTGGAATGTGGCCGAAGGAGTAAAAGCCCGGTCATTGGGGGCACAAGGCTGCCAAGAACAGATGCACAACTCATGCGCCGCTCACCTCAAAGGCGCGCCATTCTCCTAGACAATGAAGTGAATACGCCCCCTAGAATTGTGCAGGGCACAGCCTGCACAACGGTCTGCGGGAGGGAAATTCCTTGAATAGTGAGAATTTTGCCAATTTTTCTTGGGTAAGAGGTATGGGATTCAGTCTCAGGTGTGAAGACACAGTGGACTCTCACCTAGCTCAGGAGCCCCTAGCCCCAACTCTCCCCCAGACTCTTGGATCATCCCACTCCATAGACGGCCATCCATGGCCACCACGGCCTGCAACAAAACTAAGATCCTGCCCAAAATGGAGACTCTCGGACTCCAAGTTCTGGGCCTGGGGTTCCTTTATTCCCAAGCGATGCAGTGAGCTGAGAGAGTTGGGGGCCCAGGGCGATGGGGGACTGGGACAGGACGAAGGGAATGAAGACGGGTTTTTGCAGGACTGGCTGAGAGGACGCAGGGTGAATGGCGCGGGGAGTTGGTTAAAAGCAGAGAGAAGGCGGGCACACTGACCAGGCCCTTTCTCCAGGCTTGGCCCCTCTAACAGTGAGAAGCCACGCAAGAGGCGTGGACTGTAGGTGTGACAATTGGGGAGGCTGAGGCCCAGAGAGGGTAACCTGACCCGCCTGAAGTATACACTAAGTAAGCCAGGCACAGAGCGGGCCTGGAGAACCCCTGGCCCAACTTTAGCCCTACCGCCCCGCACTCATTCATTCCATCGACCAAAAGAACAAAAAGCTTCCTCAGTACCGACCACGTGCCACACACTAAGCTGGAAGCTGAGGAGACACGGGCTCCTCGTGGAGCTTCTTGACCTCTCAGGAAAGACAGACATCACACAAGTGCGGTGAACACTTCAAGGAGAAGTGCAGGGGCGCAGCGACCATAAAGAGGGACTAGGGAAGCCCACGCCCTCCCCAGGCCTGTCCCTCTGCCCTGAGACCCAGCTCTTCCCTCCGTTACAGAAGATGTATACGAGAGGACCCTCACAGTGGATGGAGAAGACACGACGCTGGTGGTCATGGACACCTGGGAGGCTGAGAAACTGGTATGGCGCAGCAAGCGGATTTGGGGGGACAGGTGCCAAGCCCAGCACCAGATTCCTGGCCCTTTCTAGGATACTACAGAGCAGGGAGAGGACAAGGGACATTCTGAGCACCCACCAAAACCCATAGTCCTATGCAGCCCATTTTCTCACTCTGCACGCTGGCCCACCCTCCGCATCCATCACAGGATGTGACTCTTTCCCTGCAAGCCTCCCCCACTTATTAGCACCCTCGTCCCATTCCACCCACCCACGTTGTGCAGAGGAAGGGACGCTGAATTTAGCATCAGAATGCCTGAGGTTGAGCCCCCCCTTTCTTTTTCTTACCGGCTGTGTGGCTTTGTGCCATTGACTTACCCACTCTGAGCTTCAGTTTTCTCACCTGATTAATGGGTCAGTCATTCCTGCCTCCCTTACCAACTGTCTTGTTTTTTTTTTAAGTTCTTAAGCAATTTCACAGAGTTGAGCACAGTTTGGAGCATGAAAAAAATGCTGAACATGGGTGAAGAATCGTAAATAATGATAATTCTTATTAATCATAACTTAGTAGCTTAGTAAAAAGAGAAACCAAAGAGTGTCCTTCCCTAGCTCTTTCCAGAGCAGGAGGAGCAGGCAGGGACATGTTCCTACTCTGTTTTTCTCATCTTAAGTGAGTTTTCTTTGTTTTTCTTGCTATACAAGTAATACGTGCTCACTAGAGAACTTTGAAGAACTACAACTAAGCAAAGGGAAGCATCTAAAAATCACCTGAGATTCCATCTTTCTAGGAATAGCCCCCCCCAGAACACAGGGGGTCCTGGCCACAGGAAGGCTTAGGAGGGCGGTGTTGGGTGATTGACAAAAATGGCCGACAGCTCCGGTGACAGCCCCAAAGGCTAGGGATGAAGGAGCTGTGTAGCCAATTCTTTTAAACCAGAGTAAAAGGAAACCCAGGTCCAAATGAACATGACAATGATGATGATGGTTCTCTTAGCAGCAGCGGGCCTTCATGGACACCCTCTTCCTAAGTACCAGCCCCTGTGCTAAGCACTGGATGTATATTATAACATTCAGTCAAGAAAAAAAAAACTATGCAGTGAGTGTTCTTCTGATTCCTGTTCTACGATGAGGAAATCAAAGCTCAGAGAGGTTAAGTGATGTGTCCTAAGTTCTCAAGAGATTCAAATGAGATTCAAACCCAGATCTCTAAGACCCTAGAGCCTGGACTTTCATGCACCAGGATTGCCCCCTCATCCTCCCTGGGAGCATCACCTTCTGAACTCCAGCTGAGGTTCCACTCCTTCACCCACTTGTTTCTTAAGAAACACTAGGTATACATCAAGACGCTGGAGACCCAGGAGTGAATAAGGCAGGCATGTTTTCTGGCCCCCTGGAGCTCACAGGCTGGTAAGGGAAGGGCTATTTTTTTGGATGCAGTTGAGAATCCGATGGGGAAGAGTCCAGTGAATTAAGAAGAGTGATCAGCCTGGGAGTCCCATTAGGGAGACCAGAAGGCAGGAGCCTGCATTCTGTGCTCATCTGGCTGAGTGGCCTTGAGAAAATTTTCTCTTCTCTGGCCCTCGTTTTTCCTGCAAGTAAAATGAGGAAACTGAACCAGTTTCCATGGTCAGTGGCTGTGAAGGCAGTTCCCAATCACAGCCCATACTGTAGCAGGCTTGTTGGAATAGCATCCATCCTTTCCATCCTTAGCCTAGATGGTTACATGTCCGAGAAGCAGCACCGGACCAAACTGGGTGGGCCTTTGGCTCATCCAGTCGTGCCCTAGCTTGGTTGACCATCAGGTCACCTGAAGGGAGTATTAAAAATCAAATTCTCAGACCTAATAAATAAGAATCTATACAAGTGGCATCCTGGAATCTATATTTTTAATCACACCCCCAAGAGACTCTTACCCACCAATCACACAGCAACCAGCTTTTGTTATCCTAACCATAGCAAACCCTCCATAAATATTCGTGAAATGAATGAAGGGATGGCCAAGACCCACACTCTTATTCTACAGATGAGGAAACTGAGGCCCACAGCGGGGAAGAAACCCATCCATAGTCAAGGCTGAGAACCCAGAATGAGCACCTACAACTGTCTGACTCAGCCCACAGTTATTTGGTCTGAGGAAGGGTCGATATGACTGCTGAAAACCCACCCCCTTTGACAATGATGTTGACCATGGATCTGATGCTTTCCTACTCATCTATACTATTTGGTTAGCAGATAGCATTTCTGGCTTCTTTTCCCCTCACAAGCAATTCTTCCACCACAATCAGTATTTCCCACTGCTGACCCACTCTCTTCTCTCCTTTTCTACCTGCTCGTCCTTTCAAAACTCACTCACAGGTCCACCGTGAAGCCTCCCACGCTCTGCCCGGCTGAGTTCTTCTGGGCTCCCGCCCTCACCCCCATGGCTTCTCCAACCATTTGCATGCGGGTACTTATCACACTGCATTATAACGCTCCATTTCCATAGCCTCCCGGCCATACCATAAGCTTTTGGAGGGCCAGAACTGGGTCTAATTAAACGCTCATAAGGTTGTTACCCAGTGGTCCGGTCTCAGAGTGCTGTCCCTGACAACAAATCACCATCCATAATGGATTATCAGAATCACTCCAGTTCTTTCCTTTGCTTGGTCAAACAATTAGCAAGGACTCTACTTTCTAAAATGGCCTGTGCCTTTTCCGCCCACATCTCCACAGTCGCTCCTTTACCTCACTCTTTAAAACCACCCTGAAAAATGCCTCCCCTAGAAGTCAGCCTCTGTCCTCACTTCTCTCCCTTCCTTTTTTCTCTTTTGCGATGACTGCAGAAGACCAAAAGAACTGTCTAATATGCCTGAACCTGTTAAACAGGCAAAGCCCGAACAGCCAAAGAGCAAACCCTCCTTAGCAGGAAGAAGAACCAAATAACTATTTTTTGCCTCCAGTGCCCAGCCGACAGAAGGAGTCAATGAATGAGAGAATGTAGTGAGGTAATGAGCCCATTTTTTCAAGCAGAGAAACAGCCTCACAGGGGATTAGGGTGTCACTACTTTGAGAGGAGAACAGGGAATGATGGCAGAATTTGTCCCCCAAACCTGTCCAAAGTATAGACCTCAGCCCCATCCTAGACTGTCCCGGCCCCCCTTTCCCGGCCAGGGCCCAGGTATCCTCTGAGGACGGGCCTGGGGTGCCTCCCCCACAGGACGAAAGCTGGAGCCAGGAGCCGTGCCTGCAGGTGGGCAGCGCCTACGTCATCGTGTACTCCATCGCGGACAGAGGCAGCTTCGAGAGCGCCTCTGAGCTCCGCATTCAGCTGCGGCGCACACATCAGGCGGACCATGTGCCCATCATCCTGGTGGGCAACAAGGCGGACCTGGCACGCTGCCGGGAGGTCTCCGTGGAAGGTGAGCCCTCCAGTCCACCCTCCTCCTCCATATGCCCACGGTCGCCGCTCCTCCTCCAGCGCTCTTCACCTCAGCCACTGCCTGCCCCGCCGCCGCCCCTCCGCCACCCCCACCCGGCCCTTGCCTGCGTGTGAAAGCTAGGAACCACGCCCGCCGCCTCGCTCACTCCCCCAAAGCAGTCCCCAAATCCTGTCAGGTCCACCTCCCTTAACCCCACATTCCCTTTCTTCCACTGACAGCCTCTGCCCCGTCCCGCCATCCCCACCTTAGTCTGGGCCAGCCTCGCGGTACTTCCATGCCCCCACTCAATCCGTTCTCCCCACCAGCTGCCAGAGTTTCCCAGGACCAGACCTGACCTTAACACTTCTTCGCCTAAAGTTCCCCTTTGGCTCCCCCATGCCCTTAGTCAGAGACACTTTATCCAACAGGCCCGATAGGCCTAGTTCTAAAGGCTTTTCTTTTTTTATTGAATTTATTGGGGTGACGTTGGTTCACAAAACCATATAGGTTTCAAGTGTACAGCTCAACGGAACATCAGCTGCTCGGTGCATCGGGGGCTCAGCGCCCCGAGCAAAGTTTCTTTCCATCCTTATTTCCCATTCCCCCTGCTCACCTCCACCTACCGCGTACCCCTTCCCTCTGGCTATCGCCACACTGTTGTCTGGGTCTATGTGTTGTATTTATATATACACGGGTTGTTGTGTTGTGTTTTGTTTTGTTTTGTTTGCTTAATCCCTTCACTTTCTTTCACCCAGCCCCTCAGTCCCCCTCCGCTCTGACAACTGTCACTCTGTTCCATGAATCCACACCTGTTTCTATTTTGTTCGTCATTTTGTTGTTGTTGTTGTTCATTAGATTCCACATATAAGTGAGATCATATGGTGTTTGTCTTTCTCTGACTGGCTTATTTCACTTAGCATAATACTCTCCAGGTCGATCCATGCTGTTGCAAAGGGTAAGATTTCCCCTTTTCATGGCCACCTGAGACCTGACAAAGCCAATTATTGGCACCAACATAGACTGAGGAATTTATATATTCAGAGAGCTTTCATTGTCTGCAAAATATGACATTGCGCCATCTAGCAGATGCCAACCAAAACGTTTGAAGTTGTATGTATAAATCGTATTTAAAGTGGGATGGGGGATATTTTAATGCATTTGACATATCAGGTGGGACCCAAAAAGATCTTGAAATGTCCCTTTCAAAAGGAACAATCTAAAATTATGGAATCGGAGACCCAAAAAGGGGGAGTCAGTTCCACAGGACACCAGCCACTGAGGACTAGAACCCAGGTGGCTGCCTCCCAGCCCGGTGGCATCCTGGGATGGAAGGCCATTCCCTACCTACTCCCAGCCTCCCTGTCTTTCCAGCCTCATCCGGCGGTAACAGTCACTAACCTCTAAACTAATTCCTCAAAACCAGATCTGGTTTATTTCGGAGTCCCCTGGCACCCAGCACAATATGTTAAGAAACGAAAAACTGCTTGGAATTGAGACTGAACCTGCCCCTTCCTACCTTTACCTCCTCCCCCTCCACCCTTCCCGCCTGACCCCGCCACCTTAGAGGGACGCGCCTGCGCTGTGGTGTTCGACTGCAAGTTCATCGAGACATCAGCCACGCTGCAGCACAACGTGGCCGAACTCTTCGAGGGCGTGGTGCGCCAACTGCGCCTGCGCCGCCCGGACAGCACGGCCAGGGAACCACCCGCGCCCCGACGGCGAGCGAGCTTCGGCCAGCGAGCCCGTCGCTTCCTGGCGCGCCTGACCGCCCGCAGCGCCCGGCGCCGCGCGCTCAAGGCCCGCTCCAAGTCCTGCCACAACCTGGCCGTGCTCTGAGGCCGCCCTCCCTCCCAGAGGTGGTGGGACACTGGGGTGCACTAGGAGCTCCACTGGCGCTCCGGAGGGGCAAAGGCACAGCGACCGTGAGTGCGCATCGTGGGCCTTACCTACCCGCTGCCCGGAGGGCCAAAGCATCTCCCAGAGCCACGGCTGCAGGGGCCCCTCCGCTCTGGGAAGCGACGTACAGACTGTGGGGCCGAGGCCCAAACTGGACAGAGAGTAGGTTTTTTTACGCCATGCGTGTCTTTTTGTAAAAATTGTCCTTATCCTTGGGCCCTGGCCAACCCTCAGAAACACTCCCCGCCATCCACCACCGCCCCTCCCCCCCCCCCACCTTTCTCCCCAATAAACCAGACCGGAAGTATGTCCCGCGTAAATGTCCAGACTGCTTCTTTTGGGTTCATCCAGGTGGCTCCACCTCCTCCTCTGCCATCCACACCGGCTGCAGACTGGGTTAGCCCGCTGCCCGGGGTCGGGGCAGTCAGTACAATCCTTGGAACAAGGACGGGTTCAGGCCTTCTCCCAACCACTGGGCGGGAGCCCGGCCCTGGTTTGAGGGAGACTTGGTGGAGCACAACCACAGTGAAGTGCAATGACCCCTTATTTGCTCGTTAGCCCATTTTTTAGATCATAGATTCATAAAATGTTATTTGCAAAGAATTTTAGCCCTCACCCTAGCAGTAAAATAGCCGGTGTTTGTTGGGAGCTGACTGTGTACTACGCCGGTGGCTACTATTAATTAATCTTCACAACCCCGGTTTACTTATTAGAAAACTGAGGCACAGGACCCTGAAGGCTCCTGCTCAAGACCATATAGCTGCTGTCGCTGAGGCTGCCAGATTCCAATCCAGGCTTTTCACACTAGAGCTGGTACCCAACTCCTCCACAGTCCTCTGGAGAATGTGACAAAAAGCTATAGAGTCCCCGGGGGGAATGAACTTCCAGGCACAATTTTGTATATAATTTAAAGAAGGGGGTTGATTTCATGAAACACAATCCCTTTATCCCCAAGATGGACCCCCAACTTAGTCCAACTCATTCATTTTTCTGAATGTAGAAACCGAAGTCCAGAGAGGGGAAGTAAACATCCCAGAGCCCCCAGCCAGCAAGAGCGAGGACTAGAGCCCAGGGCCCAGCCTCCTCCTCTGTCTGCTCAGGAAGTAGGACATAGTGAGGCATCCAGACTGGCTGGGGATGGGGCTGTGGGGTCAGGTCAGGAGTTTCCAGCCTAAGGTGAAGGGGTGTCATTGGAGAGGAGAACAAGATGCAAGCAGTTTGGACCGTCTTGTCCCTAATGCCTGACACACTGCCCCCAAACAGCTGCCCTTCCAGATGCCAGAGCCCTCCACGTGGGCCCTGTCCCTGCTGCCAGGAACATGGTGCCAAGGAAGAGCAAAGCACAGGCAGGCAAGGCACAGCCTCCAGCTGTGACCCACCCCCCAAATCTTGCCAGCCAGACGCCGATGGGACTTATATCCCCATCCCACCTCTAGTGTGGGGAAGGGAAGAGGAGGAGGAGGGTCTTCCCCCACCCCAAGCTGTCCTCCGCCTGTGGTCGTGGGGGAGGGGCTACAGTTGTGGAAAGTTGGCAGAGGCGGCCTGCAGCAGCCGGGAGAGTGGAAAAAATGATATCAAACCCGGAAAAATGCAGGCCGGATGGAGGGCCTGCCTCGGCCCTGGGAGGTGAGAGGGAGGGAGGGAGGGAGAGAGGGAGGGGGCCCCACGGGCTGAGAAAGGAAGAGGGGCCAGGGAGAGAGCACAGGAGCTGTTTCTGAGAAAACTGAGGACTACCGTGTCATTTCTTTCTCCATCCACAAATATTTACCAAGGGCCTACTAAGTGCAGGGCACAGTGCCAGCCTCTGGGGACAAAGCGGTGAATAGAAGGAGCAGGATGCTGTTCCTGGGGCTCCCAGTCTAGGTGGGGGGCCGGGAAAGGGGGAACTGGGAAAAAAGTAAGTAAATAAAATAATTACAAACTTAAAAAGGGCTAAAATCAGGGTGGTCAGGGAGGGGCCCTGAAGGCAAGCCGGTCCCCTCGATTCAATTCACAGATGGGGAAACTGAGGGCCAGGGAAGGAGAGGGCTTACCTGGGGTTCCTGAGAGCATGAAAGAAGCCCTTGTGGCCAGGATTCAGGGGTGGGCCGTGGAAAGAGGGAAGGAAGACAGAAACAGTGCAGATCAAGCTGGGGGGACGGGTATGCAGCCCGGACAGCACTGTGGCTGAGGTCCACGCACCAGGGCGCCTGCGTCCACACCTTGCTCCCCTCCACCTCTACATGCTGTCGTTTCCCCATCTATAAAATAGGGTTCATGACAATTCCCTCCCTCGGGGTTGACGTGAGGATTCAATGACTAACAATGTGTAAAGCACTTAAGAACAGTTCCTGCATCTGGGAAGATTCAGTAAATGTTGGTTCCTGCTATTACATAGTAAGGCCTTCGGGAAACCAAGGTTTGTTAAGGGTAGAACATGCTTAGACTATGATGAAGTCTTTGGCCCTGCTATGACACTGGAGGGCTTTAAGAAAATGACCTTCCCTTGTGGGCCTCAGTTTCCCCATCTGTAAAATAGAGGGATTGAATCTGAACTGGTATCCTCTGTTCATGTATTCATGTTTACTGACTGCTTCCCCCACAGCAATGAAAGCTTCAGGAGGGCAGGACCTCAATGCTGCGCTCTCCCCAGCACCTACAGCAGTGCCTGGCTCATAATAGGTGATCGATGAATATTTGTTGACTGGATCCATTAACCAGTCTGTACAATGGCCCTTCCAATTCTGACCTCTCTGATTCTAGGAGTCTGTGAATAAGGCATGGCTAGGAAAGCATGTGAGAAAACCACAATATTTCTCCCAGGGACACAACCAATTACAGTTCAGAAAGTTCTTTCTCATCCCTAAAAACAAACTGAAAAAAAAAAAAAAGCTAACTTTGTTTTAGCTCTTTCTGTGTGCTGGGCCCCATGCTACGTGCTTGCTCCACATTTTTCTCATCATCACCACAACCATCGACTTAATGGGTACCATTTAACAGATGAGCATATCGAGGCCAAGAGAGCCCAAGAAATGTGTCCAAGACCACAGAGCAGGAAAGGGTAGTCAGTATTTACGCTCGGATCATGTAGGAACTACTATCTTCAAGTGTTCAACTGAGGAAACTGAGGTCCAGAGAAAGGAGATGAATTGCCCAAGGTCATGTAATAATAACAGCAAATAGTTACATCAACATGTCAGTTGCTGTGCTAAGTGCTTTTCAAATATTAAATCCTTAAAACTGGTCAATATTATCACTATGCCAGTTTTCAGATGGAGAAATAACATAGAGAGGTTCAATACCCTGATTATACACTTAGCAAGTAGTAGAACCAAGCCCTGGCTGGTGTGGCTCAGTGAATTCAGTGCCAGCCTATGAACTAAAGGGTCACTGGTTCAATTCCCAGTCAGGGCACATGCCTGGGTTATGGGCCAAGTCCCTAGTTGGGTGCACGTGAGAGGCAAACACATTGATGTTTTTCTCCCTCTCTTTCTCCCTCCTTTTCCCTCTCTCTAGAAATAAATAAATAGAATAATTTTTTTTTTAAGTAACAGAGCCAAGACTTGAAAGAGAGAAATCTAGTCCCATGGTATTGAAGACTTGTCTCTGTTGCACTGATATAAAAAGGGAGGTGTCCTTTGCCCAGCAGCTGCTGCCTGGGCTGGGGGCAGGGCGGAGGACAAAAGCTCTTTGAGAGTATCCTCAGCCAACAGCTGGGACTTTCCACCTTGAAGGGAGAGTCGTGTTATGGAAAAAATGATAAAGCTCTGGAAAGATGAACATCTCCCAGGGGCCCCAAGTTTCCTCAGAGTCCCCCCCCCCCACTCCTTGCTGTGAGGGAGTGCCACAAACTGTGCCGGCCTGATCCAGATGAGATGAAGGACACCTGGACTGACACACCCCAGCCGGGCTGCTCGCATACTGAGGATCACTGGCCTTGACGGAAAGTTCCAGTTTCTCAGCCATGGACACAAAGCTTCCACGCGGGGACCCCCAAGGAATCAGGTTCAGGCTGGGACTCCCTGTCCTTCTAGTGGTGGGAAATTCACATCTCACAGGACAGCTCCATTCTTTCTTCATTGGGTAAACTTTGACGAGAGAAGGTAAGGAGGGTAGAGAGAGTCATAGCTGGTTGTTTATAAAGATTAAGAACCTCTCAGCCCTGCCGTGAGCGTGTGCCCTTAGGCAAATCAAAACACAAGGAGTGAAGGAGTTAAGGTAGATTTCTCTGTGTGATGATCTCCGTCCAGAGAATATTTGAATGCTCTAGTTCAACAGCTTGAAAAAATATACAAGTTCAGTGTCAATTTCAGCAGTGTTCTCTTCCGTTCGGTTCAGGGTTCAGTTAAAAATAATACTAATGATGGGATGGGACCTCTGGGTTCAGCAGTGTATGCAGTTTTCCCCACTTCCATCTGGTTCCAGTTCAAGGCCAGAAGAGATGGCTGTTCCAGTTACTATGCTGCCAAACAAATCACCCCAAAGCTTCGTGGCATAAAAACAATCATTTTATTATACTTATATATTTTGTGAGTCAGGAATCTGGGCAGGGCAAGATGGGTGCAGCTGCTCTCCGGGGCCTCAGCTGGGAAACTCTGGAGTGACCAGAGTCACCTCTCAAGTCTGGTGTCCTCACTCACATGCCTGGAGGTTGATATTGGCAGTCAACTGGAATGTCACCGACACGTGGCTCCTCCAGGTGGCCTGGTGAATTTATTTCCTATGGCTGCTGTGACAAATTACCATAAATTTAGTGGCTTAAAGCAGCACAAATTTATCATTTTACAGTTCTGTGGACTCCCAGCATGGGTCTCGCTGGGCTAACATCAAGGTGTCGGCAGGGCTGCATTTCTTTCTGGAGGCTCTAGAGAAGAATCTATTTCCTCGCCTTCCCCAGCTCCCAGAGGCTACCCACTTTCCTCAGCTCATGACCCCTCCCTCCGTCTTCAAAGCCAACAACG